CCCAAGTCGCGCAAGTCCCACATACAGATGCGTGGAAACTTTGGTGGGAAAGTTTTATTTTTCGACAAACTAGGTGGAAGCTACATAAATTTAAATCAAGCTCCTCTCTATCTCCTTCGTTCCGCACATCTACTTTTCACGCACGGATACATGAAAATGCAGGGGAAGAGGAGTTGCGGGCATTCTTCTGACTTTGCTCAGCAAAACTATGCAAAATTCACAAACGCACCGGCTGTCTGATGCGCGCTGCTTTTATTTATGAATCAAACGGAGCTAGAAATCCAATAGAGGATAATATGAACTGAACAACGTGGAGCGGTGGACAAGTTACCAGTGTCTTGAGAATGAGCAGCAGCAGCAGATCGAGGAAGCAATTGACTGCGCAAGACAACAAATACCACAAGGTACCGGTGGAGCTGTGTAAACACAACATTTAGAACTTCGTCCGTCTTCGTTTTCCTGAGAACGACTGAAGTGAAGTTAACCAAAACCGTGCCTGTAATTGACCGGAGTCGCTGCTGTACTGCTAGAGCCGCTGGTTCCTTCATTTTCAAGAGCTCGTCGCACAACCTTCAGCGCTGCGCTATCGAATGCTTTTTTGTAACGAACAATTTTATAACCTAAATGTTTTGTTTTGGAAATTTTTGAAAAGTGTAAGCTATGGATGTTTGTTTGGCGCTGTAGGCCAGCCGATGAAAGGGACACAATCGAATATTGTCAATTGTGGGAAAGTAGTGAGTGTTAATTTGTGGCCGTGTTATTTTGATCACACCTCTGTTTGTAAGGCTGATTTTTGTCAGGACGCTATTTATCGCGAATATTTTCAAATTTATTTGTACTGGTTGAACAAGCAAATGTCTGAGTAATTTGCTGTTGCACATAACTTGTAATTTCACCAAAAGGCGAATGAGGCGAAACGAGATGGCCAGTAGGCTGGTCACTGGGCAGCCAGCACTGGTCAAAGCTACTGTAAGAGTTGCCAGCTGACAACGCCAGGAATCACAGCTGCTGCAAAAAAGGTGAAAGTAAAAGACTACAATTTTCACGTTGAACATACGGTCCGTTTCTTCCGGAATTTTCGGGTCATTTTTTTTCATCCAGAAGCCAAAGGTCACCAAATTTCTTCAGGATTCTTCCAGGGAAAAAATTCCAGTAACCGCCTTCTTCGTGCGCTTCTGTAAATCGTATGTCGAAATTTCCTTTAAAAAATACGAGCTGCATGATGTCCTAAGTTGATCCGGGACGAACTCCTGAGGCAAGGGGGGAGAGGACGGCAAGCGGTGAAGGACTTCTAGGGGCGGCAGGAATAGGGGAGAGTCCCCTCCCACCCTGGGAATATGCAAAAACTAGGAATAGAGTTGTAACACACTGCTACTTCGAGTTACTTTAGTTTTATTTGTGAACAGACCCGGGCTTTTGCAGCACTGGTGCTAAAGACCGTTCCCCCCTTGGATCCGCCTATGGCTGTATGAGTTCAGTTGGAGAACGCAGTAGGGTTGCTGCAAATTTCACGCGTCTTAAAGTGGTATTTTGCACAGCTGTCAGTGGCCAGTGCATGATACAGCTTGGTTAGCAGCAGCAGCAACAGCACGCTTGAAGCAGCAAAATGGTCGGGCCGTTGTGCAACTTTTTCTCCCCGACTGGGTACTGTGTGATTGCGGGGCCGGGGGTTGGGGGAGGGGTAAGACAGTGTGATGGGGATGTGTTAGTCTTGGCCATCTGTGTGGGGAACTGGGTGTACTTCGTTGCCGTGCACGACGTGACAGTTAACCACTGATGGCGGCTGTTGGAACTGACCGATGTCCACTGCTGTGGGCATTTTTTTTCTGCTCCTGTTAAATGCTGAAAATTGCGAAAACGATGAAATTTGTGCTGTGTAGGGGCTTGTTCCCGAAGTTCTGGGGTAGTGCTGAGAGGTGTGGCCTGAATTAGCCGGGTTCTAATTTTTGGGCCGTATGCTTGCGATAGGGCCGTTGATTTGCTGGATGCCCCCCTGGGCTTGTTCTCACTTGATTGGCTCAGCTGAGAGGCAACATGTGAACGGAGCTCAGATTGTTTTTAACGTGTCTTAGAAGAAGGAGTTGGTGGCGCAGAAAGAGGGGGGAGGGGGGGAGGGGGCAGCTCCAGCTCTGTTTTGCCTTCACGACCGGGTTACTCGATCCTCGCGTAGTGTTTTTTTGGAATTGCATTTTTGGAGAAATTTTGCTCACTTTCAGGGCATGCATTTTCGTCGCCGCCAGTGATTTTTTTGCTCAACAATGTTTTACGTGTTTTATGTGAACGAGGGCTCGCTGCATGCGCTGGAGGTATCCGTTGCGCTTTGCTCCGTGCACAATCTGCAGTGTGCAATCGAGAAGGTCACACGGGTCCCAGTTGCCGAACAGGTTTTCTTTCGCTTTGTTATGCTTTTTGTGCTGTGTAACAGCGTTACAAAACGCATATTGTCACGGGGTTGTCTGTGTGTGTGTGTTTGTATGTGTGT